TGATATAATTGAGCAAATTAATTAATAAAAGTTAACTTAATTGACCTGGCAGTGTTAGAATATGTTAACATTTAGGTTTGAGTAGGCTTCCAAGAACATCCGTTTTGCACTTGAGAAGTTAATTAATTCTTTTAATCTTCTCTGAAATTCATCTTCTATTTTACTCTTTTTTCATCCAGATTAAGAATTCAGAAGAAGGACTATCCTTATTTAGAAAGTTGATTAGGAAAACCTCTATTTCAGAAATAAATAGTGCATTGTCACACAACTCTTTTTCTTCTTCTTCTTACAAATTCTGGTCTCTTGACTACATTAGTGTTCTTTGGCATTGACAGTGTAGTGTGAATAGAAATCATTGCTAAGTAGCTTTGGGGAAAGAAATTGGTGGGGTGGAAGAAATAAAACTGATGATGAAAGGGCAAGTTTGAGTTTTATGGCTTCATAAATCTGCATGCTCCACCCTCTTACCATGGTCAATTGAGAGGTAGCTGATTATTCTGCCAGCTCATTGTGAAAATGACAAGTCAGATTGTGGACTTTCCCAAATCATAAGCACAGGAATAAAATACTATGCATTTGTATCTAGGTTCAAGAAAAGATTGACTTTCTAAGTCAGTCACTCTTTAGGGGAAGAGAATGCTATCACCTTCGTAAAGTTGTGAATTATGAAAGACATTTCTGTTGTGTTACTGAATGTCCCTTGAGGGTTGGTTTCATTTATAACATTGCCTTAGGCCTTCTGCTATATCCTGTTGGAATGACCTCCTTTTCAACCCTGTGCTGGCAGCTGTAATATGGCTCTGTCTCCTGGATCCTTCAGGCTTGTCACATGACAAACATGAACTGTGACCCCTTTGTTCCTTACCCAGATCATTAGGTCTTTGTAAATTTTTTCTGTTTAACAATTTTGCCTGTTTTCTCCTTTTCCCTCTTTGCTCCCCGTTTTATTTTCTACCTAACCAAGGGTTTTTTTTTTTCTTTTGTAGTGTTTTATTTTTTATTTTTTTTATTGGATGCAGAAAAGTACACAAATCATAGGCTCACTGAATTTTCACAGCACAAACACTCCAGTGTATTCAGCACTCTGATCAAGAAAAAGAACATCACCAGAAAACCTTTTCTGTCCCCTTCTAGTCACTAGTTCTCTCTCTCAAGGGGAATCATTATCCTGACTTCTGTAGCTATGCCTGTTTTTGAACTGCATAGAAATGGAATCAAACTGTATTTTTTCTCTGTGATATTCATCCATGTTAGTCAGTTTGTTGTTGCTGTGTAGTATTCCATTTGTATGAATATCCCACAGTTTGTTTATTCTATTCTTAATGGGCATTTGAATTGTTTCTAGTTTAGGGCTGTTATGAAATGTAGTGCCAAACATTCTCATACATATCTTTGGATGAACATAACACATATTTCTGGGTATTTACATAGAAGTAGAATTACCAAGACAATGTATCCATCTAACTGTTTAATTTCAAAATGCATATAAAACACAAAACAACTGATTGTAGGCAAATTCTTGGTAGGAAACATTTGTAAATATATATAGATTCAGCTCTAGCATAATATATCCAATTTCTGGCTAAGAAAAGTACCTCTACTTAAATGTACTATTATTTTAAACAGAGAACTCCTAGCCCACCCACCCTGTGTGGCTCAGTGGATTGAACGTTATCCCATGAACTGAGAGGTCCCAGTTCAGTTCTCTATCAGGGCATATGCCTGGGTTTGGGGCTCAGTCCCCGGTAGAGGACATGCAGGAGGCAGCTGATGGATATATCTCTCACACATCGATCTTCCTATTTCTCTCTCCCTTCCTCTCTCTCTAAAAAAAATCAATAAAAACATATTTTAAACAGATAACTCTTACATACAACAAAATTGCCACTCACTGCCCATGACACTCTTTCTAATGTCTATTTTAAAATTTTTTTTCTTTATTGATTTGAGAGAGAGGAAGGGAGAGGGAAAAAGAGATAGAAACATCGATGAGAGAACATGGATAGGTCGCCTCCTGCATGCCCCCCACTGGGGACCTAGCCTACAACCTGGTTGTGGGCCCCCTGACCAGGAATTGAACTGGCTACCCCTTAGTGCATGGGTTGATGCTCAATCACTGAGTGATGCTCAATCACTGAGCCACACCAGCCAGGCTCTAACGTATACTTTTAATCTAAAATCGGTGGGCCCATCTTGCAAAAATCTCATGCAAATATTTTGATGGTGATAATTAACAATAGTTATGATTGCATCTGAGTTACACAACCTCTAAGTGGTGATGTTAGCAGGGAAGAGTGACATGATAGTGCTTGACTGCCACTCTTAGCCGAAGCTACAGAGGCTAACAAGTATTTATACAAATTGCATTCATTACCAAGAACTCTAAAAAAGTGATGAGAGACTAGCTATGTGCTGTAGATGGACTCCACGAGAAGCAGCCAGGCAGTTGTGCAGCTGATAATCATCTTTGTCTTTTTTTTAAATGTGGACTTTCCAAAGTTTGTTCCATGGCTACTTTTGAACAAGTTTAACCTAAGGAGTATAGAAATGTGATTGTGATATCATATCCCCCCAAACCTGCATAGTGTTTTTTAATGAAATTTTATTTGACCATTAGATAAAGTGCCCGCAGTCATCCTGTGAACATGCATGAATTAAGTTGAAATTAAGTTGATTTGTTTTGACCACAGTGTTTTGGAGATCATAAAAAGGCCTCTCCTCCCCTTCATCAAAAAACAAAACAAAAAATGTAGAGGGAATAATTATAATTTGATGGTTATAAAAGGATGGTAACAGAACCAGACAATTTGCTTCCTGTGTTAGGTAAGTATCTTTTCTTGTAAAAGTCCTTTGGGTGGAGAAAGGAGAGTTGCCAACGCTATCAAGATGTTTTTAAAACAAAGTGTGGTTACAAAAATAAATAAATAATGAGAGAATCAAGGATTTTGTTTTTACAAAATTATCCTTTATGTAAGTAGGAATTCTGTACTTTTCATTTTTTTTCTTCTATTTGTATTTTTTAAATAATGGTATATAGACATTGATATTTAGAAAACTGTCTTAATACAGGGGTATTGGGTTTCATTCATTTTTCATTAAATTTATTGGGGTGACATTGGTTAATAAAATTATATAGGATTCAAGTGTACATTTCTGTGATACATGATCTGTATACTGCATTGTGTGCCCACCACCCAAAGTCAGATCATCTTCTATCACCCTATATTAGACCCCCTTTACCCTTTACTTCTCCCCACTCCTCTTCCCTCTGGTAACCATCATATTGCTATCTATGTCTGTGCGTTTTTGTTTGTTTTTCTTGTGTATTCATTTGTTGCTTTCCGTTTTATGTCCTATGTATGAGTGAGAGCATAAGGTTCTTGACTTTTTCTGTGTGACTTATTTCACTTAGCGTGATATCCTCAAGACCCATCCATGTTGTCACAAATGGCAATATTTCATCTTTTTTTATGGCTGAGTAGTATTCCATTGTTTATATGTACCACATTTTCTTTATTCAATCATCTGTTGAAAGATAGAACTCACATTGGTTGTTTTAACCCACTACATTCAATTCAGGAAATGTTGCTATTAAATCTACATTCATCTGTGTTCTCTACTAAGTCCTAGATATCATAGAAATGATAGTCCCTATCCTCAGAAGGCATATGATCTACTGGGTATGTGGTGGTGATGGTAGTATATTCTGTAATACTATGTAAGGCAATTGCCACAGTGAGAATTCTTTGCAGGAAGAGGGAGGGCAAGTGTACCCATTTGAAATGGATCTTAAAAGATGAGTAGATTGTCCTAGAGTGGCCTTTTGCTAATCTTTGCCTTTGGGCTGGAGTTAAGATGCTTTGTAAAGGAGCAATGGGAAATAAGGCTGGAGGGAAGCCAGTGATGAGTTTGTCCCTTTAGATCAAATTAGAAATGGAGCCATAGCCAGTGTGGCTCAATTGGTTGGGCATCGTACCATGCACCAGGAAGTTGCCAGTTCTATTCCAGTCAGGGCACATGTCCAGGTTGTGGGCTTAGTCCTCAGTGAGGGCCGTGCAGAAGGCAGCCGAGTGATATTGTGCTCTCACATCAGTGTTTCTCTCTTCCTTTCCCTCTTCTCTCTAAAAATCAATCAACTAATCTTTAAAAATAAAAAAGAAATGGGGTTGCAGCTCAATATTGCTGTGTGATCTTGAACAGGTTGCTTAACCCATCTAAGCTTATTTGATAAATGGGACATTACCCATATAACTTGCTGCAATTTTATATAAAAGAGATTATGTATGGGAAATGCTTAGCAAGTGCTTAGGCAGGAACTCTGGACAATGTGGAGCCATTGAAGTTGACTTGTTTTGACAGTAGTGTTTTTGAGACCATAAAAATGACACCCTCCCCCCCCCCCATCAAAAACAAAAGAAAAAAATGTAGAGGGAATAATTATAATTTGATAGTTGTAAAAGTTGTAAAAGGATGGTAACAGAACCAAAGATTTGTGAAACATAGAGTGGTGGGATCTGAATCATGTACAGTAGTCTTTTACTTTTTTTATAATTGACATACAAAAGACTGCACACATTTGAAGTGTACATCATGATAGGTTTTTACAAACACATACACCTATGAAATCATCACCACAACCAAAATAGTTGGCCACACCCATTATTCCCAAAAGTTTTGTCTAAGACCTTCAAAGAGAAAAGTCTGACCTGTATTGTGCAGCAAAGAGTGGAGTGAAATAGAGCCCGGAAGTTGAGAAGTTGGCTAAGAGGCTATGGCCATGGCCCAGGTGAGACAGAAGAATGAAGGAGGTCATGAACTAGGTATGCTGGCAGTTGGGCACCCCCAAGAGGCTGGGCTCCTAGAAGGCAGGGTTGAGCCCACATCATTATATTATTTCCAGCACTAACCCAGTGACCAGTGGCTCTTACTCGATGAACTGATGAGTTTCATTTGATGAAAGATTGCTTATTTTAAACTTGTTCTCCCTTTCTTCTGTTTAGGGCTTAAAAGACAACCTTCTTGCTTCCGGGACATCCAGCCTGACAGCCACCAGGCAGTTACTTTGTCCAAGAATCACGAGAATCTGCCTCAGGGACTTGATATTCTGTATGGAACAGGAAAGAGAGATGAAATATTCTCGAGCGCTATACCTTGCCCTTCTGAAGTGACCACTCCCCTCTCCATCCAGATCCTTACTGTTTGCTGCCAAAGAAGACTTAAAGAGCATTGTTACACTGTCTTGAAATTTTCAGTTTCTGGAAAATAATCACCAGTAGGGAAGACCATTGTTTACAGTTATAAACTTTTATTAAATCTTAATTATGCATCCTGGGGTTCTTAATGACCAGAATTCAGCTTTGTCTTCTGAAAATTGGCCATGAAATACAGTTTACACAGAAGTAGGCATCTGCCTATCTGTGCAATTAATCACAGCAAGTTAAGGCCCTGTTTGTTACTACCTGCTTTATTTGCCACACTGTTAACAGGTGAGGTATCTTTCCCTAATACAGCCTGGATTGAGATGCAGGGGAAAGAAAGGGTCACTGCTTACCAAAGAAATGGTATTCCATCCTGTCTCGAAGTGTTAGGTTTTCTGGGCTGGAATCAGAAGCTGCTTAGCTAATTAAGTTGCCTTTTGTAGTTTAGGTGACAAGCCACAGAGTTAGGGCCTGTGGTGATGTTGGTCAGCTGAGTCCCAGTGTTGTCAAAACAGACTAATGGGGATAGTTTGTGCCTGAGGTTGCTGTTCCCTGGTTCATGTCACCTTATGCTGTGGCTGATACCAAGTGAAGGGGCATCCTTATTAGGGAAACCTCAACATTGGAGCTGCTGATATACCTCATTGAAAAATGGAAAAGGTGGAAAGTTTCAGGAGGAATGATGGGGCATTGCATTCAAACTGACACAGGGAAATGAAAATGGAATCAAAACCGGAAATGCGCTGCGTATGCCTAAGGAGGGCAGTGGTGGCATTGGAACTCCAGGGTAACTGTCCATGTTGACAGAAAGCAGTCAGAGCCCAACCTATAAGGAAAATGTTACCAAACATTTCCAAATTACAATATTTCAAAACAAAGTTCTTTTTTTGTTTTGAGTATTGTTTTAAATCTCAAGGACAGTTTTGTAAAGTCATTTAGTTATACATTTTAAGCATCTTGTTGTATTTAAAAAATCCTGATTGATGATTTAAAACATTTTAACAATAGGGACTCTATTTTAAATTCTATACTCAAAAGGTAGTGTTTGCATCTCTTGGCTCTACATATCTTATGAGAAGCATGTTGTATATATTCATCTGAGGAGGAAGCTGATGTTTTGTAAAGCAAACCCTGTTTTTGTGTGTGTGTTTTTTAATTCCACCTGTCTGATGTGTAGCTGGTGACAAATGATAGCTGTAGTTACAGCCACATAAAGAAAGTTTTTAAAAATGGGAAAGCTGTGCTTCTTATAAAAAGAATTCCAGGGGAAAAACACCTCAAGTATGTTATTCTTCATCCTGTTCTTCCCATTGGGACTGTTATGGACATATTCTATACTCTAGTAAGTTTTAAACTGGCCACTTTTTTGTTTGTTTGTTTCAGCAAGTTATTATGTAAAATGTTATAAATTATGTATATGTTAAGAGTACTTTACAAAGAGATCTATACCTAAAGTTGTTTTTGTATATTTAAACGCTTAGCTTGAGATTTTTTTGTAAAATGCAGCATATTCTCATATTTGTGTATAATCTTATTGATCAGATGTTTAAAATTATTTCAAATACTTCATTAAAATAATTATTTTATTATAAGAGTAACTTTGTTTAGTCTCTGCATTTAAAACGCGTATCTTTAGTAGTCAGCGCTGAAGCTGAGGGCTGGGTAGTGCAGCATATCCGCTGGGCAGTGCAGCTTTCTTGTCTCAGATTACTTTGGAGTGTCAGCTCTGGATTCCAGAGCTCACTTCAGATCCAAGTTTTACTATATCACTTTCTTTGAAACAGTTGTAAATTTGTCCTGGCCGGTGTGGCTTGGATGTGTGTCAGCCCATGCACCAAAAGTTTGCCAGTTCGATTCCTGGTCAGGGCACATGCCCTGGTTGTGGGCTCCATCCCTGGTTGTGGGTGTGCCAGAGGCAGCTGATGGATGTCCCCATCTCACATTGATGTTTCTCTTTCTCCCTCCCCCTCCCTATCTCTAAAAAGCAATAATAAAATATATAAATACACACACACACACACACACACACACATATATAAAGAAATAGTTGTAAATTTGCAGTGTTGTTTGACTCACAATGAAAGCTTAGCATATTCATTACAAAAGTTTTTCTGGCCCATCAGAATTTTCTTACAAAGGTATTCTTTTTCAAAATTAACTTTTTGTTTGTTAATCCTCACTGGAAGATATTTTTCCATTGATTTTTAGATAGAGTGGAAGGGAGAGAGGGAGAGAGGGAGAAACATAGATTGGTTGCCTCTGGCACAACCCTAATCAGGACTAAGAGTTGAACCTGCAACCCAGGTACCAGGAATTGAACCCTTGACCCTTCGGTCTGTGGGCTAACACTAACCAAACTGGCCAGGGCTCAAAATTAATTTTCAATATACATTTTAAAACTTTATGTCTTGAAGCATATCTTATGCACAAAAGAACAAATATAGTGTATCCAAGGTATTCTGGTCAGTTTTTGCAAAATGGTGGCCTTGGTTGTGTTTGATCTATAAGTGCATTGTCTGTGACTCACCTGGTGTTGACAGTGTTTGAGTTCACAAAAAGTCTGAATTTCCACTTCTTTCAAAAAATGAGAAGATCTGGAATCACTAGGTAATGCCTTTAGTGTGGTGATTCATTGGAGCCAACCAGTGGGTGTCGTTTAGATATGGGGGTACATGTGTACTTTCCCTTGTCTCCTTCCTTTGAGCATTGAAGTTTGTGACCCTCTGCCTTCAATATGTATACTGAGTGGTGAACAATAAAAGGGGTACATGCCAGAAATTCTCTATTTGCTCTTTTAAAGCAACTTTACAGAGGCATATTTTACATACAAAATTCACCCAATTTCATCCATTTTACTTTTAATATGACTGACTGTTGTTTTAAATGGTCTCCCGGACATTTATAAGATCCTTCTTCTCTTAAAAAGAAGCTAAGTTTAACATTCTTATAAAGCCTGTATTTCTTAAAAACTGCATTTGGGACAAATTTTGTTTCATTAGAATTTTGGCAAAACTGTACTTAAAATTAAGACCATTTATACTAGTTATGTCATTGTTCCAGCAAAAGAACACAAGCAATGTTCAGCCATATTCTGTAGAAAAGGAACCAAGATCTCAGGCTGATTTAAGTTGAACTTTATCTCTATGCCTAGTTGTACAATGAACCAACTAAGTGTTTATAAAACTGAGACCTCAACAAGACTCAGTGATATAGCCCTGGCCGGTTTGGCTCAGCGGTTAGAGTGTCGGCCTTCGGTCCAGAGACACCCGGGTTCGGTTTCCACTAAGGGCATGTACCTCGGTGGCAGTTTGTCCCCGGCCCTGGTTGGGTTGTGTGGGTGGCAGCCACTCGATGTGTCCCTTTCACGTCGATGTTTCTCTCTCTCTCCCTCTCCCCCCCTCCCCCCCCCCTCCCTCCCACTCTATCTGAACAAAAAATGGAAAAAAAATGTCCTCGGGTGAGGATTTTAAAAAATAATTAAAAAAAAGACTCAGTGATATAAAAGTATAAAATGTTATATGTTTATACATGACCTGGTAGCCACTTTCTATTTTCCTGTTTTTAACATTATTTATAGATAGTTTCCATGCCTTGCTGGACTGAAACTTTTTTTTACATCTGGTATCAGTCTCTTTTCCTCTGACTTGTAACCATCTCTCAGTCATTTCATATATATTGCGATTGTATTGCATGGGTGCATTTACTTTTTCACTGAAGTTGTTCCACCAGTGGAAAATGGGCCCTCAGTGGAACATTTTTGCCGTGTTTTTCTTTTGGGGAATACCGTATTGAGAGACCTGTGCTGTGAAGTGTTCACCACCAGGTACTTGAACACTGACTGCTTCGGTGAGAGGAACCGGTAACTACTTCCTATGTTTAGAATCTGTAGACCTTGCGCATTAAATATTTGTGAGAAAAGACTCCCAAGAAACTCATTTTAAGACTTTTGGCTGTTGGTAAACCATAATGAGAGCAATTTTAATGGTAACTCCTTTAAAATAGGATGCCAGCCCAGCTGGTGTGGTTCAGTGGATTGAGTGTCTTCTTCCCATGGACTGAGAGGCCCTGGTTCGATTCCCGGTCAGAGCACATGCCTGGGTTGCGGCTCAATCACCAGTAAGGGGCGTGCAAGAGGCAGCCAATCTGTGTCTCATTCACATGGATGTTTATATCTCTCCTTTCCTCTTTCTCTAAAAAAGCAATAAAAAAATCATTTAAAAATAATAAAATAAGCAAATAAAGTAAAATAGGATGCCAGATTGACATCTTTCTAAGTTCTCTTTTTGCGGGTGGTGTTGAGGCACTATTGTGCTGGCTGCCCATCTTAGTCTTGCCTCTTCCCTCCTGGGCACGCAGCTGGACCACATTTCTGAGTCTCCCTGTAGTTAAATGTGGCTATGTGCCTGAGGTCTGCTCAAGGACATGTAGGCAGAAGTGATGTGTGACATTGCAGAGCTGGTTCCTGACAACCTGTTCAACCTGTTGTGTCTGATCTCACATTCTCTTTCCCTTTCCACAGACCTCAGAGTGCTCCTGAGGAAGATGGCAGAGCCACCAGACGGAAGGAGCCTTGGTCACTGGACTGTGGCTTGGAACAAAACTGCCTGGTAATCAAGAGTACCCACTTGGGATATGAGTGAGAAATAAACATCTAACGTAAACCACTAACACAATATATGTAATAGCAGTTCATTAATATATATGATAACAATATATATATTTTATAATCTATAATATAACTATAGCAGCTAAATTAACTAATACAGACAGCTACTGCTATTATTAGTTCTATTTTACTGATGAGGACACTGGCGTGTTAAGAGATTTGCTAGTTTAGTGGAAGTCACAGAGAAAGTAGAGGAATTTCAACCTAGGTCTGTACAACCTCGTTGCCTGCATTCTAGATTCCTAAAGGGGCTTTGTTGCTTTGTGTTTTGTTTTTGTTTGTTTTTTAATGCTTCAGAGCTCATCTCTGTCCCATTTAAATAGCTAAAGATAGCTATTAATTTCGTTTCCTACACTTAGTATTCCCTTCCATAGACTGAACTAGAATCCACAATGTAGATTCCAGTTTTCAGTATTAGTTCATTGTTCTCTTGGTCATATTCTGCTATGCTAAAGGCCACATGGAAACATGGTTCCCCTTTGGCCCCTACGTGTCACCCCCCAGCCTCTCCATGCCTGCCAACCTCAGTGGCGACAACTTTGAGAACTGCATGCTGGCCCTAGGTATTGACTTTGCCACTCATAATGTAGCCAAGTTGCTGAAGCCAAAGACAGCGATTGAGCAAAATGGGGATTTCTTTACCATCCACACAAGCAGCAGCCCAGGGAACTACCTTGTTCAATTTAAATTTGGAGAAGACTTTGATGAAGATAAGAAAGGCCTGGATAACAGTAAATTCAGGAGCTTGATCACCTGGGACAAGGGCAGACTCACCTGTGTCTGAAGAGGGACACGAACACAGGTTGGGCCCAGTGGACTGAAGGGGATGAGCTCTACCTGGAAATGTTCCATGAAGGCCAAGTGTGCAGCAGATGCTCCAGAGAGCCTGGCCTATCCAACAGCAGAGCCACATGTGGATGCAATTTAATGCCGAACTATATTGCAGAATGAACAGGTGTTCATCTCTCCTGATTTAGGGCCTTGTGTTCAGAGAGAGGTAACACAGCCTGTACCAGAAACCATTTGGATTGTGGGGAAACTGCTCAGCTTCAATAAACCTGTTCAATGATTGGGACGAGGCAGGGACATGCTTCCCCTTCGAGCGGTGAACACACAATGCAATATGCAGATGATGTGTTATAGAATTGTACACTTGAAACTTATACAATTTTATTAACCAATGTCACTGCAGTGAATTTAATAAAATAAAATAAAAATCGATTCCGTATGCTAAATGAAATCCAGTCGATGGTGCTGGAGAGAGGAAGGCTAGTGGGCCCATTTACTGCTCGGGTTAGAATTCCACGCTGCTGTCCATGTGCAAAGTCAGATGTTGGTAGTGTGAATTTATGGTTAACTAATCACCCCAGGACTTTTCATTCGCTATTCAGAGAGTGACGAGGGGACCATCAGCACAGTCTTCACCTGGGCACTTGTTTGAAATGCAGGATCTCAAGCCCCACTCCCGACCTGCCGAGTCAGAACCTGCATTTTAGCCAGATCCCCAAGCTCACTAAAGTTTAAGAAGTACTTCTCTAATTGATCATGATTATTTAACTATTCATGATTATTTATATATTTTTTTCATTATTGATTTTAGATAGAGAGGAAGGGAGAGGGAGAGAGAGAGAGAAACATCGATGAGAGAGAACATCGATTGGCTGCTTCCTGCATGCCCCCCACTGGGGATTGGACCCACAACCTGGGCATGTGTCCTGACCGGTGACCTCTTGGTGCATGGGTCAACGCTCAACCACTGAGCCACACCGGCCGGGCCAGTCATGATTATTTAGATTTTGATTCTGTCACTTAGTGAGGACATTTGAATTCAGGTGACTAAATTGACTATGCAATTCACTGTCCCTCTCAGCCTGTGTCTCCCACAAATTTCATAAGCATGCCTCCTGTGTTCATTCAACTTGTCCATAATGTGTTGAACAAGACAGGACCGGCTTTGAAACGATGAAGCGTGCGCTAGCATCCAACATCAATCTGTTAATTAGCAGACACCACTCTGTAGCCAAGTCTGACTGTATCTAGCTGATAATACTATTGTGGGGTTCACAGAGCTTTCGTGAGCAGCTCTGGGGAACCGGCTCAGTTCCATGCACCACCTAGCACATGGTTATCAGCCTAGCAGCCATTTCAAAGAGCATGGCAGTGGTTTGGAAGATCTCCATCTGCTATGAACTAAATTATGTCCCCTCCAGATTCGTATGTTGATGTCCTAACACCCCCCGTGCCTCAGAATGTGACTATATTTAGAGCTAGGACCTTTAAAGAGGTAGGTAAGTTACAATGAGGTCATTAGGGCAGGCCCTAGTTCAACGTGACTGGTGTCCTTACAAGAAGAGATTAGGACATGTGGGTACAGAGTGAGGACACAGCAAGAAGGCAGCCATCAACAAGCCCAGGGGAGAGGCCTCAGAAACCAACTCTGCCGATACTTTGATCTCGAACTTCTAGGCTCCAGAATTTTGAGAAAACAAATGTCTGTTGTTTAACATACACCCCGATTTATGATACTCTGTTATGGCAGCCATGCAAACTATTACACCACTCCCTCCCCTCTGCCATGGCTCTTTAGAGGAATTGGTCATCTGGCTCTGGCGGGATGATCTGAGTTGGTACCTTACTGTCTGTGTGAGAAACTTGGACATAAACTGCAGGACATTGAAAATGTCTCAAGGGTGTTGGCTGCAGTAAAATCCTGGGGGAGGTGAAGGATGGCCTCAAAGGGAGGAATCGCTCTAGGGTGACAAGGTACAGAGGGATGTCAGAGGGGTCTGCATTCATGGGGCTTAATCAGGGCTTATAGGGAAAGTCAGAATACTACTAAGAGAACACAAAAGTCCTTCACCAGAAGCACACACTCTAGCAGCCCCGTCATCTTGTCTCCTTGATGTCAGCATCCTTTTCTCTCAACTGCAGTGTTCCTGCTGGGACGGTGCCTCAGCTGCTCTGGGCTTCTCCTGCCAACTTCTGCTGCTGCTTTTGTTCTGCCGGCGCTTCCTCGCGCGTTTTCGCATCTGGGCAGTTTTGTGTGTGTCCCAGTCAGAGAGAGGAAGTAGTTGGATACATTAAATGCTCTTCCTTTTGGATCTCCTAGGTGCTGGCCAGCCTGTAGATGGCTGCTCTTGAGTCAGGTGCTGGTCCCTGGTGCAGACAGCTGTGACCAGCACAGCAATGTCACGGGTATAAGCAAGAGAGAGCACATGCGGGGAAGCTCCCCTTGGCAGTGTTGTTTAGAGGGAGGCATTAGCAGGCATGGCAGGCATACGATATGTCCTTGCCACTCAGATTGTGGTCCATGGCCCAGCAGCAGGGGCATCACCAGGAGCTTGTTAGATGTACAATCTTGGCCTCACCCCAGAGCTGCTCAGTCAGTATCTGCATTTTAACAAGGTGCCCAGGGTATTTGTATATGTGTCATAAATTTGAAAAACTCTGTTCTACCAACACACTCATTGATTTTTAGCAAATCTGGAGTTTTCTATACATTAGATTTGCTTAAAACTGCATACCCCTGTGGGTCAGATCAGATCCAGGCTTCGAAATTTTAAAGTTGTACTAAATCTTGCCTTATACTCAGATTGCAGAAGTTAAAACTCAAAGAGATTAGGTGGTTTGCCTGAGGGCACAGCACTAGACATGCATTTAATTATGCACAATTTTCTAGGAACACTGGTAATATAAAAATATCTTTCCTTATGCAACCTGGCAGTGTTAAGTTCGTTTCTGAGTGAGATAAACTTTAAGAAGTAGCTCGAACTTATTAAAGCAGTGGACGAACTCGCTGGCTGCATGCATTCAGTGCACTCAGGGCGGAGGGCAGTGGACAGAAGTTGGAGGATTGCTAAAGAAGCAGCACGGTTCCTCCAGCTGGCGGGGCAAACGCTCGGCAATGCACTTCGTCTGCTCTTACTTTCTTCGGAGAGATTAGTAAGGTCTGTCCCCTTTCTAAACAAATTCTCCCGCATCTTTTATATTTTAAATTTCCACTTGGATTCACATCAGAATACTTTGACCCACACAACATTTATATCTAAACAAACACAATGATAATAAAAGTGTTTGTAGTAATAGCACTGATAGCAAAAATAGTGACTAAGCATTTTAGGTTCACGATGTGAGTGGAGTTATGTATGTCACACGGATAGAGTTCTGAAAAATGTGTCGTGGCAATCCTAAGGTTTTCCCTGAGGAGTTTTCCATTGGATTCATAAATTGAGTATATTTTTAAATAGCTTTCTTAGGTTTTGTAATGGTCATTGTTCATGCAGTATTTAGCTACAGGATAGCCACTTTCCTGAGGTTTTGAGATGGTGGAATTATACATATGAATTACTCAAAGGGTTTTTTTATCGTCATTCGAGGATATGTTTATTGCTTTGAGAGAGAGAGGAAGGGAGAGAGAAAGAGAGAGAGAGAGGAACATCAGTGTGAGAGAGAAACATGGGTGGTTGCCTGCCATTCATGCCCCAACCAGGGATCAAACCCACAACCTTGTTGTGTATGGAACAACATTCCAACCAACTCAGCCATCCGGACAGGGCTCAAAGGATTTTATAGAGCCTGGAATAGGTACCTCATTCTGCAGGTGAGGAAAATCATGTCCATAAATGGTTGATGGCAAAGCAAAAACCGGAGCCCAGGGGACAGGTTGGAATGGGCCAACAGGCCAATCAGATGTTCCCCGTGGCCTTGGGCCTGGACTGGGAGCCTGGGCCCTATAAACCCTGAGATCAGATATTGCTTAGGACACCTGGTAAAATATTAACCCCTGTTCCCTAGTGACAGGTCTTAGTTTGCCTCTTCCTTCCAGGTCTACAGGTTTCTTGTTGGTCAGTTAAACATGATTCAATTCACTCTACCACTTTTCCCGTGTGCAGACTACTCCTCTTGTATTGGTCTTGCCATGCATCCAACAGACGTGTTTGGTGCCTACTGTGTACCCAGCACTGCATCTCATACGTGTTCCAGGATGGAGAGGACATTCCCTGCCTCCAGGAGCTTCCTGTGCAGCGGAGGAGACACAGGAAGCAGGAGGTCGGAACACAGTGGGGCAAGGGCAAGAGATGGATCGAGCGCTGTGGGAGGTGTTTTGTTGTTTGCATCAACGTCTATTTGTTTCACTTTCTGCCTTTCTTTCGGTGTCTTCTTCTTCTTGAAAAAGTATAAATATCAACTAGTTTAAGGACAGTAACACCTTGTTTTATTTTACCACACCTCCATTGTACCCAAGCCCAGTGATGAGTACACAGATGACCACAGGGGGGAGACAAACCTGTCACCAAATAACTGCATGGGGTGTGCTAAGTGCTGCGACTGTGTGCAAGGCCTCATGGGGTACACAGGACAAGGGCCTGCTGGGGAAGAGATGGGGACTTGGGAGCTTTTCCCTGACACTTGGAATAAACAGGAGTTGCCTCGGCTGACGAAGAAGGTGGCAGAAAGCGAAGCTGCCCTGACGCATCTTATTTGGGGAGTTGGTGCTTTACTGTTGAATGCAGGAGCGTGGCAGGGGCACAGTGCAGCATGACAGCTTTTGTAAGCCACGCTAAAGAGTACAGGGCACCGGACCACCTTGTCAAACCCCTCTGGTGGCTGCTCAGGACTCTGGAGCCCCTGGAATGATGATGTTGATGGGACACAGGCCTCGCTTGAGAGATAATACACGCTTGAATTTAGGAACGAGGGGTCCTCAGCTTTCACACTCTCCACATTTGCCCACTACTGACTCACATCAGCAAGTCTCCATCCGTTGGCTTTGGTCTTCCATACGTGGCAGGTCTAGAGATAAGACGCTCCTTCCTGGTGGCCCTGCCTGCCTGCCAGGCACCATCACCCAGAATGGCCGTGGGGGAGGGTCACTGCCCAGCTGCCTGAGCCAGCATTGGAGCGAGGCCTCCCTGAGCCCCTGCCTTGGACAGCCCTGGGCCTCTTTCCAG